TTTATTTCAAACGAGTGCGTTTTCTCATTTGTATATTTATTTAATGCAGACAGACACTAAAATTAGAATATTAACCTCGGGAATTTCAACCTTTACGGGTTCACTCGGTAATGCGCTGGTATTCTCTTGTAATGTGGTCATTAGTAAACTAAGAAAATTTATTGTTTTTACAGTGTGACAAGACAGAGAGGCGGCTGCTAAAGGAGGCTATATACAGTGCTGCCGATAATTTACATCACAAATCTAACAAAAAATCGTTACTAAAAAGAGGTAAAATAAAATGTTTATTGTTTAAAATAACTTCACAAATCCTGTAATTAACACTATTACAAATTACCAGACCTGTATTCATGCATAACAGGGCATTCATTTCGCCTTTTTCATTTCGAATGACTTCTTGATTATACTTTATTATATAGATGATTTCTAACGGGCGCTCTGATTGGCCAAAAAAAGTGTTGTTTATGAGAGTATAAACCACGATTGTGCGCGAGCGATATTTGAAAAAGGTAGGAAAATGGATTTTTGCTTAAGTTTTGCTCAAAATCTATATAATAAAACAAATAAATAAGGCTCAGCCGTGGTTTATACTCTGATTAACGCACGCTTGGCATTTGAAACACAAGAGAAAATGTCAAGAAGCACGAGCTGAAAGCGTTTATCAGAGTATAAACCACGGCTGAGACTTATTTATTTGTTAAGTAACACACCTATTACTGATATCATTTATAGATTCCTTTAAAGCGGATACGTAGCTATACGTGAACAAAATGCGCCAGTACAAACTGGAATATTTCATTTTGTCTTTACTGAAAGTTTACGGCTCCGACGTTTAGAAGAATGCAAGGAATACGACAACTTAAGGTTTTTTGGACTTTAAAAGTTTAAAAACTTTCATTATTAGTTGGTTGTTTCATAGAAAACCTCGACGTCACTCGTTGTAAAGAAAGCGTTGCCTGTAAAGAACGAACAGTAAACACTGTAGCTGCAGCCAGGCGGGGCGTTGTATGTGTACGGATGAAAATAGCTATTACTGCTTGATGCATGGTTAGATAGGTAAATGTCATAACTGAATGTAGGGCCATGACCACTGTGTCTCAGTATAGCATAGGATTGACGTTGTACTTGAGGTAACTTGATAGGATAGTAGCCATATGTATTGTACACTGTGAACAGGAAAGCATTGGTGGAGTACGTCCAGCCGTTTGAACCTGTACGTAAATCAATAAATTACTTTCCTTTCTATCAGATACTTCATGAAGGAAGCCTCTCACGGGCATGCGTTAGATTACTAGGCTTCCACCATGACGTCCTGTCATAATGACCTTGATGTCAGCCGAAAATAAATCGTTTACAATATCATTTAATATTTTTAAATATTTGTGAAAATAATTCTAGAAGAGTAAAATATTGCAAAATAGATTGGATAAATAAAAAATTTTGATGATGAGTAAACAGCGGTAAATAATTTTTTTTTGTCGGTTTTACCACGAAAAGCCAGATATGTACGCTAGCCTGTGTACATCCGTTTCTTACCCCTCCAAAACAATCTGGGAGAGAACGTCTGTGATTTGGCGTTGCTAATCGTGTTCTGAGGTCCTCAAGATTTGGAGGACGAATTTCATTGGCCGTTGACTTATGAGACTTGTGATTGGCCAAAATCAATAGATRGCGTGTAAAGTTGGTCGCACGAGTGAAATATAAGCCTTCATGGTAAATCACTGGAACATGTAGAATGCCTCAAATTGGATATGTTATTTGCTCTCAAATTCTCTGTAAAAGTTAAGGCTTTAATCTTATATTCGGTCAGGGTAAATTTAAAATTGATGTGAAATTATAATGTCATTAGAATTCGCCGCCAATCTTCACGAACAAAACTTGCATTTGTCAGAAGTGCTAAAGAAGAGAAGGGGGCTTAGTAGTTTGTATTCTACATCTCATAATAGCCTGCGAAAGCGCCAGAGTTACAGCTTCAAAACTGCCGAGGACAACGTAATCTTCACAAGAAGATATTAGTACGGTTGATGGAAGTCATTGTATGACACAAATTACAGGAAAACCACATTCTGACGAGACACTTGCTACCGAAGATAGAGAGAGCATGGCATAGACCAATGGGCAGAGACAATAATGTAAACTACGGTCGAAGTTAGAATTGAATGGCTGAAACAAAAA